ATTAGAATTCTCAGAAAAACGTAAATCTCTGTCCACGCTGACAAAAAAAAAACAGGACAGATGTGAGTGTGTCTCAAGGGAGATGAGGTGCAAAGTCAATTTCTGCTTTCCTGCTTTCATTCTCCAAATGACACAGAACCTATTTCATACATTTAAAATGACTCCTCTCAACTCAGCAGAAAGAAATAAGACCCAAATTATGTAAATATCAAAATCCTAATTTATTAGCCTAATCAACTCACACAGTTTGATGGTAAAACAAACTCTTTGCTGTCTTTAGTATATCATAACAATACAGTGAAAATGATGATGTAATTCAGCCAAATCAGTATTAACAAGGATCAGTAAAGCATTGTGAAGCTTCAACCAAAAACATTTTACAAATCATCTCGATTCAATCGATAATAATGACCGAACTGAATCATTTGAGACACATTTTAAGCGTTTTAATGTAAAATGTGTTAGTTTTATTGCTGCCAACCAACAATATGGACGGTTTTTATTTTCAATTCTAAACCAGCAAACATTATCCTGATTCATTTTGAACAATTAAAATAAAATAAACAAAAATAAAAGCTCCAGGACAGAAGCACGAAGGATGGCTTAAAGAACCAAAATCTAAAAACAGACAAGAAAAACTACTATCTGAAAGCTGATGGAGATGATAAGTTAGTTTATTAAAGTCAAAGTTGAATTAAAATCGGTAAAGGCATAGATTAGTAGTCCTAACCTGTATGTTTAGGTGTTTCTCCACTAAAATACTCAATAATCAGGATTCATGTGCATCTGTTTACATTTAGCTGCTAATCCTTACGGTTTTGTGTTTGAATAGATCGTTTTCAATTATGAGTGATTCATTTAAACAACGTCAAACAGGAGCATAAAGGTTTTTCTTGCCTGGTCAAATTTTTTGGTTTCTATTTTTTTCTGTTCTGTTCTGTTCTTTTTTTTAATGAGGTGGGAGATAGTTAGGAGCTTCTCTACCCAGCAACAGACAGAGCTGAGTCATCTCTGTCAGGCCTCCCACGCAGCTCTACTCTCGAAATCTCTGGGTGTGGAGATGCTCAGCCTCGGGCTTGATACCAAAACTAACAGCATCACTTCACGCAGGACCACAGAAACACACGGTTACTGTAAACGGGGGGAGCCGTGATGGAACAAGGCTGGCACTGGTGGGCGTGCGTGTGTGTGTGTTTGAACGTGTGTAGAAGAGTGCCGCTGCATTTCAGGTGTTGGAATGAAAACAGTGGCTGTAAGTGCAACGAGCAACAAAGATGTGAGCTTTAGAGAGTTCTTTTCACCACCAGCTGGAGGTTTTATTCTGAAAAGGATAAAATAAACTGTCATCATGTGTTGCTAGTGCATTCTCAATATTCAGGGTTAATCATGTCTTGTGCCTTAAATAAAGCCTAAAACATTCATTTCAGGATGGACTTTTTGCCTTTAAAGAGCCTCTTTCAAACAGTCGCATCGTTTTTCTCTTCAGTTACAAACTTCAGTGACGTCATGGCATCAGCTGAGGTCATTTTGCTGGCTCAGCTGTTCTCTTTGACAAGTGTTAACCGGCGGTTTAGCTACTTCACCGTGACTTTGGTTTCGAAATGAATGAACGGTCTGCTGCTTTTTAGAAATCCTACATTTGCAGCCGCTCTTTACGACAATGCACAAGGTCACTCAGCCCAAAACCCACCGTCCTACTGAAGGTGTAAACAAATGCTCACTTGTTCACTCCAGAGCTCTGTGTCTTGCAGCCATGACTGCTGTGATAGTGGACTACATAATGAATGAGCGAATGTTGCTAATAGTTTACAGTTGTGTTGAAACATAGTTATTATGAAGATTACTCAATAATTTGAACATAAAGAAACACAAAGAAATCCTTTGGCAAATTATTAGATTATTATTACTATTACTACAGCACAAAGTACTTGGACGAGTATCTCGATTCACTTAAAGCTGTGGTAGCCTACGTAGGTTAAAAATTCTAAAGTCTCTTTAAAATGCTTAAACGTGACTATCTGGCAATGTTGTAGGATATAAAATAGGTAACCTTTCACATTTTATAATTCTCCTACCTAGGTTCCTTCGCTGGCATCCACACCAAAACTAATAATTTACATGAGCCTATATGAGGGCTGACCTGTAGAGCTGTGAATCCACCAGAAGGAGTGGTCGATCAACAAGAATCTGTCCCAGTTCTCAGCATGTACTACGGGGGACTCAGACACAGTCGGATTAGCGCACCCACCTAGCTTGAATGCTAACTTGACCTGCATTGAATTGATGTCAGTCTGTAAACTTCAGAGAGGGAAGTTAGCTTGTTTATCCGCCGGCAGCAGAGGACGGTGTCGCCCTCTGCTGCCCGCGCTCTCCTCTCGGATGACGTGTGAACCAATGTGTAGACCCCATCGTCTCTGTTCATGGTTGTGTGTCCACGTCTCCTTATTTCTATGGCGTGTGAGAAACAAACTAGTCGAAGACACACAAGAGCAGTGAAACAAGAAGCATAAAACACAATAAAGTCAGCCGTAACCGACTACTGTACAAGGAAGAATCAATAATGAACATGGACACAACAAGGATCATAAACACTGAACAAAAATGCAAAAGATGGATTAAGGAAGCCACAGAAATAAGGAGACATGGACATGCAACCTTGAACAGAGACGATGGGGTCTACACATTGGATCACACATGACAGTGTGTCATCTGAGAGGAGAGCGTGGGCAGCAGAGGGCGACACCGTCCTCTGCTGCCCGCAGATAAACAGAGAAGGAAGTGATGTCGCCAACAGAGGCTAGCTCCGAAGAAGACCACAGTAGTGGTGGAAACATCAGAATACAAGGTAAAACAATTTTTTTCTGTGTTAAAAAAGAACCAAGTAAATCAGTTCCTACAGTTAGTTTTATTAGAAAGGGCATATTGCAGTAATGGTGCGAGCATAAGTGCACTGACAGCAAACCAATAAGGTATCACCTTTAGGTCATATTAAAGTTAGTTCTTCCATTTTGCCATGACAGTTTACAGCATTGCTGTCACGGCCAACACCTCCTCCAATCGGAGACCCACCACACAAGCTGTTTTTACAGGACCATCGCGTTTGCAAAACGGGATTTGCCGCGGCTAACCTGGGGAGGATTTTGGCATTTATAGTAGCAAAGCTGAAGCTAGAATAAACTGGCATCAGGCCCCTCTCAAACTAAGACGGGATAAAGGGAGGTCGCCACTTCTGCCAGTTCTCTGTCATCGATTCTTCAGTGTCACGAGTTCAAGTGATCCCAGCCGATCATCATGATTCCCTTGCTAAAAGAGTCTTCTCTTCTTTTCCAGTGTCTGCGTGACCTCATTTCCACTCAGGTTGTGCACGTGCTCTCCTATATTAAACCACGTGTTAAACTCTCCCAACACTTGTACTTCCACATATGGGTCTTAAAAATGCTACAGCTCAACTCACTACTTACTCAGCTCGTTCCTATGGATGTATGGGGGCAAACCATATGGGTGCCAACAGGGTTTTCTTTGGTTTCCATGATGGTCCCACAGGGGTTTGCCCACATACATTTTTACCCACATAGATTTTAACAGGCCCTACATGGGTTTTCAGAGAGACTCAGATGTTTTAACGCATATTTGAGCTTGTTAGAATCTATGTGGGCAAATCCCTGTTGGTCCACCATGGAAACCGTACACAAACCTTAATGGCACCCATGTGGTTTGTCCATATATATCCATATATGGCCTACCTATGCATGTTGGCAGGGCAGTTTGGGCTAAAATACAGTATTTCAACACAATATCACCATTAATGAAACCATTTTCTTGGTTGACGCATAAACAATTTTGAGCATCAAAATCAAACTATGTTCATCCTGTTGGAACGGTTAGCAAACATCACTGCAGAGCTTGTGAAATTTCAGACTGTCGCAGTTTCACGATGAAGCCAGCTTAGCAATTGTCTAGTTGAAGATATCATGAGACAAATTTTGCAAGTGTGTGTTTTGGCGAAGTAGAAACATTTGCATGTTCAGACGAACGATCACACGTTTGCAGCATTAGGACGCCGAGGTGCAAAACTGCTAGAGGATGCACCGTATCGCTCTAATACCAAGAAGAGCCAAGAGATCATTTACAGAGACTTTAACATCTGTGCATCAATTCATGCATGGAACGTCGTTACAAAACTACACAAAAGCACAAACATGAAAAAAGTTACAGCTAACTCATTTAAAACAGCTTTTGACTCATTCAGTGTATTTTAAGGATGTTCACAGATAAAACATGCAACAGTACAGACTGCTAAACTCCCACTAACATGCCGTAAAGATTCACTTCTGCATTCACAAAGATAAAAGCAAATTAAATGCTCTCTTTGATCTACTTTTTCCATCTGAGGGCTGCTGCTGCTGTGACATCACCAGGAGATTCACACCGCTACTTTCACTTCAGCCCTTCGAGATGTGGCCAGAGTGTTGGAATCATCTCGTTGGGACCAGTTGGTCGCCAGCCAATATCCAAATACAGTTTAAACAATGTTTGGAACAATCTAAGTTTAGCTAACAAGCCCCAAACTGTTGCTTTTAAAGTTTCAGTCCACTTCTGATGGTTATCTACACTTAAGAGTTTCAGTTGTCTTTTCTTTTTAAGTGTTTTGTTATAAGTCACATTTACGTTTTATGTGTTAGCGCAACTTTTTGTTCCGAGTGAAAAAAGAAAAACAGTTTAATTGTTTTATAAATAATACCACTGCACTACTGTGGCTCCTCAAAGAGCTCAGCTCACCAAACTTTAGATAAATGTATAGTCCTGTGAAAATGAATGGGATTGTCCACTTCATAGAATAGAACATCAGAATAGAGATGGCTGGAGCCATAGCAGAGTGCCTACAATGGTCCATACATTTAAATGTGATCTAAAAAGTATTACTGTCAATGCATTCCTTCTTTACTCTAAAACGAAGTTGACATTAAAGTAAAAACAAAGTCCAGCTTGCTCCTACTCACCAGTTTGTGTCTCTTCGTCCTCCTCTTCATCAGGTTTTCAGTGAACACTAAGAGGGAAAAGAGGAAACAAGAGAGAGAAAGACTGTTTTAATCACTCTGAAGGAAACCTGCTATCATCCCACACACATTTTTCTGCATTTACTTCACAAGTACACAACTAAACACACACACACACACACACACACATGCTCAGAGATAACCCCCAGAGGCTTGGTTCAATCAGAAGGGAGTAAAGATGTGGGGTGGGAAATAAAAAGATGACAGTAAGACAGTCAAGATCCAGAAGAGAAAAGATGAATGAATAGAATGCAGAGAGAAGAGCAGATGTCATGGGGGAGGAGGAGAGCATTGAGAGAGACCGGAGAGAGCAAAAACGAAACGCATGGCTTGGCTGAGTCATTTGTAACCACCACTTCCTTCACTGCTCTACTGATGACCGGCCAACTTCTAAACTAGGCTATATACACACACACACACACACACACACACACCACACACACACACACACACACACACACACACACACACACACAGTAAAGAATCTCAACCACACACCAACTAAACTGCTTTTTCTCCTTAAAGCACTCATACCTTTTGTGTTGATTTTCAGTTATATAAAGTAAAGTTGGTTGGTTTTAGGCATTAAAATATAAAAAGGCCATAAGAAACACACTAAGGTCATCACATCTACAGCTTGTGAGCTTCAGCCTGAGAACGTGACCCATGAGCTGACCCCATATGTGTCCCATGTGAAGCAACACAAATCTTAAAGGGTTTTTCCATTCCCACAATCCTCAGAGGGATGGCTTATTAACCGAGGCACGGATGGATGGATGGTCTCAAACATTTTATTAACAATCAAACATGCTAAGTTGCAACATTATGAACGAACAAACGAATGAATGAATGATTTTAACAGTAAAGTGCAACTTCTTGATGGTGATATTTGAAGGTAAAACAGCTAATGCTGTACTCTATTAATCTGATACATTTAACTCTTGCCATCATGAAGATTTGGGAAATAATCCATCATCAAAGTTTACATGACAAAAGCAAGTCAATCTCATAATGAGACTGTAATGTTCACAGGAACCAGTATTTCATGTTGAAAGGTTCAGGCAGCACAACAGAAGTTGGACAAGGATCTATGGATTGTACATTGTAGAGATTAAAGCAACACAATCAAAGGAAATGAATGTGTCATTTAATCTGCCAAAGACATGAAAATATTAAAGGTGTGGGTGACTTGTATATTTTCAGTGGTCTCTAATAGGAATGATTAACTTGCACGTTATACTCAGGGGATAAAAAGCTCAGATGCTCCTGTTTCAGGAAATAGCAGAATACCACATCCGAGAAGAGCTTCAGACGACAGGATTTGGAGTCTTTTTTACTGCTATTTGGACATCTCGCCTCTGATTGGCTAACAGCAACAACGCGACTCTACCACGACTGTTTGCTTTGCAACGTTGATGTTTTATCTCCACAGATAACACAAGCCTGGAGGAGTTCTGCTAGGTGGGGGAGTTGCTAATGCTAAAGGTTAGCTTTAGTCAGCTGAGACATTTTCATCTGTTTCCTGGACGCTAAACCAACAACAGCCTTCCCCGTCTTGAGTCAATTTGGGTGAGTCCATGAATGTTAAGTGACAGTGTGTCGTAGATCTGTCAGGCTTTTCAAATCCTGGATTTCACCGTTTATTTTCTATCAGAAGCCAATGCAGATAGGTGTAGGAGACTTTTTCATGTTCAGCCTGCATGAAAAATTCAGACTGACCGATTATAATCAGAAACAAATAAAATAAAAAAATATACGTTAAGATTTTGAAAACTTGTGAGAAATAGAATGTTTTAACAAAACTATCAAATAAAGATGAGTAATTATTGCAGAGGTCTAGATAAATTCTGTTTCCCTTTACAGCCTAAGACCTGGGTTGCTCAGCGTTGCGCCTACGGTTTTGAGAAGTCAAGTGGTCACACAGGAGGCGCAGAGCACTTCTTGAAAAGTTGTGCGATAGTCACAACATCACGCTGGACTTGAGAACAGGAAGCGGGAAGTGACTCTATTATTTATACGTGATCAGACTTGCCGTCGTGTTGTGAGACTCTAATTCATTAAAAATGGTTAAGTACGCTATTTATTAGAATATTTTAAGATCAATAGTACCGTACTTTAAAGTTATCAAAACTGAAGCTGTGTTTGTGTCAGAACCCAAGCCCCCAGACCGGCCTCTCCCAGCTAACCAGCCTCCATCTTGGACCACATTTCCCAGCATGCTCCTCGCGGGAACTCCCGGCATTCTCCCAGTCACACCCAAGCCTATATATGGAAGACGCCGCACCGGCTCTTCACTCAGTCATCGTTTCATTGAAACCCCTGATCAGAGTTCTCTACCGAATAATCCTGATATCAAACATCTTTACCAAGCTCAACTCCCGTACCCAGTCGACCATCGTGACAGGATGACTGAGTCCGTAGATCCAGCGGAGTTCGAGCGCATGAAAAGAAAGACGGAGCAAATGGAAAATGAACTCATTCAGCTCCACGCCCTGATCGATCGGCTCCACACCAAACAAAACTCCCAGACCGATCTCATCCTACAATTATCCACAGCCCTCCATGCTCTCCAGCAGCAAGCCCTCGCACCACCAACAGAGGGGCCGCACTTTAGTCTCCCAGAGAGGTGGAACAGAGAGACGGGGAGCCCAGATGGTCTGCTCGCCACCCTCGACATGCAGTTTGAGTGCCAGCCAGGGCGCTTCCCCACTGCGCGCTCTCGGGTGGCGCATCTCACCTCCCTGCTCTCCGGACGCGCGGCTGAGTGGGCCGCTGCGCTTTATAATTCCAAATCACCGGCTTGCAATGACTATGCTGCTTTTGTGTCCACCCTCAGAAAGTCTTTTGTTCCACCCAGCAGCGAAGTGGGAGCAGAAACACAACTCCTAAAGCTCCGCCAGCGGGAGCGCACGGTGTGCGCTTATGCGTCGGAGTTCCGCACCATCTCCGCCAAGCTGCGGTGGGATGACTCTGCCCTCTGAGCTGTCTTCTTGGAGGGACTGGCGACCTACATCCGTGATGAGATGGCGGGAAAGGAACTGCCCCAGACTCTGGATGAAGTGGTCGATTTGGCGCTGCGCATGGATCAGCGGGTTCTGGTTTGGCCCAAGCCCTTCACTCGCCCATCCAGGGCGCCTGGACCTCTTCCTCGTTCCCCCACGCCTGCTCCCGGACCCGCTTCTACTGATGAGCCCATGCAATTAGGCCACCTTCCTCCAGAGGAGAGACAGCGACGGTGGCACGAGGGTCTCTGTGCCTATTGTGGCTCCTCCCACCACAGACGCCTGAACTGTCCATTACGTTTGGGAAACGAAGGAACCCACTGAGTATCGGGGTCGCTCAGCCTGGGTCACCTTCAGCCCCGCCTCTTCAAATCGACTCCTTCTTCATGTTACCCTCCTTCATGGTGAGACCTCACTTCAGATGCACGCGCTGTTGGACTCAGGGGCCGCTGACAATTTTATGGACATGGATCTGGCTAAGCGCCTACGGATCCCCATGACCCCCTTGGAGAGAGTTGTGCCTGTGACCTCGGTGGACGGTAGGCCCCTCCAACCCTATCCTATCCAAAACCGAACCCAGCCACTCCAGATGATTGTCCAAGGCCACCGAGAGACCCTCCAGTTCCTGATCATATGTGCTCCCTCCTCTCCTCTAATCCTGGGATTTCCCTGGCTCCGTCTCCACGACCCCCGGATTTCCTGGTCCCAGGGCCGCATTTTGGAATGGGGGATCCAGTGCCAGGCCCACCTCTCTCCTCCTACATCCATGCCAGACCGCCCGGACGGTGACACTGGCCAAACACCGCCCAATCTGCCACTGCCCTACCGGGACCTGGCTGCGGTGTTCGACAAGCGGCGCGCCACCACACTGCCGCCTCACCGCCCGTACGACATGGAAATCAAGCTGCAACCAGGAACCAGTCCACCCCGGGGGCGCCTTTTTTCTCTCTCTCCCGCCGAGTCCAGAGCCATGGAGGAATATATTGACCAGGTCCTCCAGCAGGGTTTCATTCGAACTTTCTCCTCCCCGGGTGGCGCAGGCTTCTTCTTTGTCAGGAAAAAGGAGGGTGATCTCCGCCCCTGTATCGATTACCGAGGTCTGAACAAAATCACAGTCAAAGACCGTCATCCTCTGCCGCTCCTCACATCTGCCCTGGACGCCATCTCCCAGGCGCGGATCTTCACCAAGCTGGACCTCCGGAGCGCCTACAATCTGGTCCGTATTAAAGCTGGAGATGAGTGGAAGACCGCTTTCATCACACCCACCGGTCACTGGGAGTACCAGGTAATGCCCTTCGGGCTGTGCAATAGCCCCGCCGTTTTTCAACGCCTCATAAACGATGTCCTCCGCGACATGTTGGGACGGTGGGTGTTTGCCTACCTGGATGACAGCCTGATCTACTCCAAGTCCGAGGCCGAACACCTCCACCATGTTCGCGCTGTTCTAGCCCGGCTCCTGGACAATAACCTGTTCTGTAAGCCAGAGAAGTGCTCCTTCCACCAGCGGTCCGTATCATTCCTGGGCTACATGATTTCGGATAAAGGACTAACCATGGATCCTCAGAAAGTCCAGGCGGTGAGAGATTGGCCCCTCCCGACAAGCCTGAAACAACTGCAGAGTTTTCTGGGTTTCTGCAACTTTTACCGCCATTTTATTAAGGACTTTAGCACCATTGTGGCACCTCTCACTTCTCTCACCCGACCAAGCCCTCCCAGCCAACCGTTCCGGCTGACTCCAGACGCCGTTCGGGCCTTCCAATACCTAGTCGCCCGTTTCACGTCGGCTCCTATCCTCCGCCATCCGGATCATGCAGTCCCCTTTGTGGTCGAGGTCGACGCCTCGGATGTTGGCGCCGGTGCCATCTTGTCCCAAGCCGGGCCCGACGACAGGCTTCATCCCTGCGCCTACTTCTCCAGGAAGTTTTCCACCACCCAGCAGAAGTACGGCGGAGGGGATCGCGAGCTGCTGGCCATAAAGTGGGCATTGGAGGAATGGAGGCAGTGGCTTCTGGGCACCACACAGCCATTCACCATCTGGACGGACCACCAGAACCTGACTCACATCAGATCAGCCAAGCAGCTCAGCCCTCGCCAGGCCCGCTGGGCCCTCTTCTTTGAGCCCTATGAATTCCATCTCGCCTACCGCCCAGGGACGAAGAACCAGAAGGCGGACGCCCTTTCCCGCCAGTTCACACATCCAACGCCCACGTCCGAGCCGGCACCTATCCTCCCCGAGCACCGTTTCTTGGCCCACCTGAGGTGGCCACTGGAGGAGGCTATCCAAAACGCCCTCCGAGACGATCCCGCGCCTCCAGAGACCCCCGCGGGTCGGCTCTACGTCCCCACGGCCTGTCGCAGCGAGGCATTGTCCTGGGCCCACTCATCACGCCTGTCTGGCCACGCGGGCTTCTCACGGA